TGTATGGAAAGATATCTACATAACATAAAAGAGTTGGAGAGTATTTAGATAAAAGTCATAAACCTTGGGATCAGACTCACCACACGTTTCATATGTACAATCATTGCAATAGTAGGAGCCACTCCGTGTGACCACTTCGGAAGCCACACCTACATGTCGCTATAAACCAATCAGAACCACTATTGACATCCTTGATTATCCAGTATACTACAGAGAAGGATAAATTTTAATAGATACAACTAACCGAGTTAAAAGGAACTCGAGACGAAGTGCAAGTAGAACAAAATTCATATTGGAAGGGCATACGACTGAATCGCTGTCCAGAGTGCACTATTAACTCGCTATCTAGAGTATGGCAAAATAAGACAAACTATGCAAATTATCACGAAGAGCCCTACCAACTTATTGTTTAGAGTGGCAAATTAAAAGAAATTGCACCAATAAGCTTGAAATGTAGTGCCGACTCGTTGTCCGGAGTGGCTATGTAATATCTCAATTTGAAAATAAATAGATTTGGGAAAGTAAAGGTTCAAAAGGATTGATAGTGCTACTCATGCCAACAAGGTGCACCTTTTTTTCAAGAGTTCATCACCTAGAAACTCCAAAGTTAAGCGTGCTTGACCTAGAGTAATTTTAGGATGGGTGACCTCCTAGGAATTTTTCTTGGGTGCGACAAAGTACGCGAGAAACACTTGTGTAGCAGACGCCTACGGTCATAGTGGAGGTTGTGGTGTTACAGGCTAAGTGAGAGAAACTACATCAACCAATACAAGGTGCATTGGCGACTCATTCTCCAGAGTGGTGAAGCAAGAAAAAAAATAATATAATCCACTCATTGTCTTAAAAAGACCTGCTCTCATACAAAGTACCTAGTCGGCTCATTGTCGAGAGCACAACGAGCATCATAAGAGTGGATGAAAAAATTGTCATATGCAGTCCGTTTGTCGTCTTCAAGCGGATGCGTGATCCACTCCTCCTATGATGATGAGAAACAATCTTCGGTCAAGAAAAGAGTTCACATCTAACAAGGTGAATAAAAAAATATAATTAGGGTGTGAGGTTTTTGAATAAAGGTAGATGGGTGAATATCATAAGAGCTGATTCGCCATAATGGAATGGCAATGAATGTATGATGACACAAGCTGCTATGATGCAATACAGGATCGAGAGTTTATCACCGTGAATCAACTACACAGTCTATACCCTTCAATCACAAGCCTAAGCATTCAGTCTATGCATTCAGTCTGTGTTGCAAAATCCTAATTCCTACCAATCATAAGAAAGACTACTCACGAAATATGTTGAGAATTCTCGTTACAAAATTGAAAATTAATCACATACATAATAGGCTCAAAACAACAAGCTGAGCGCAATTCTGAGGCACACAAAAGTCATTGTCAAAATGGAATAAGACAAGACCATATATATAGATGCACGAATGGACATTTAAACACTACAAAGCATGGAATTGAAATCGTAATACTGAAAATCGAAGTATTTAATTGGTAGAAACGAAGAATGAATCAAAATAATCTTATTGGACCGAAGTATCACTGAACCCCTCGTTGTTGGTGACTTTTTCGATCGACAAACGAGCCAGAATGGGAGGATGCACTTGGTTATGGTGGGTCGACTGGTATGGACGATGAGATCTCACTCGCCAGAGAGGACCGATTGCCTGTGTTTCGTTTTGGTGAAAACCCCTCTTCTATCTCTCCTCTCTTGTATCCAGACCGTCCAGAATACTCTCCTTAGTCCAGGGCCTTTAGCTTGATTTAGCAAAAGGACTAAATATTTGGATATGGTTAAATGACGGGGTCCGATTCTCAATATAATCACTAAAAAACACAAAATCACCCAAAAGATGTTAGAATAGTGATCACACCCACTAAACTATTAAACTCCCTCTAGACACTAATTTTACTCCACTAATTTTTAAACGACTTAATATAATACCCAATAATACATAATTACATATATATTTTTAACTATTAGATATGATATTTTTAAAAACAATTGTAGTTTTATTTACAATGCACATTTATTAGCATGTGAACAAACATTATTTGTAAAGAAATAAAAGGGAATAATGATAAGTACTTTTAAAAACTTAATTATTTTTTTAGTTATGCTTATATAACTTTTTTTAAACAATAAATGACTGGATTAAAGATAGTGAAATATATACAACCCCCCCAGAAAATAGAAGGTCCATACAAAATTGATGATCATTCAACGTAATAACAGTGAAAGTTATTTCAACTAATGAAAAATTAAAATTACATGTCAGTTTTAAGATTATTATAAAATAAAATCTGTAACATAATAATAAATCACATGGTGTATTTTGTTGAAAGTAGCATAATATAAAGTCTATACAAAGTTAATGGTCACTCAATGTAATTACAAGTTATTATACTCCCTCCGTCCGAAAATAATGTTCCCATTATACCTTTTTTCGTTCGGAAATGATGTTCTCATTCTACTTATTTTTTACAACTCTTCCAAAACTACCCCTTTCCTTCTTTCTCTTTCTTTCTTTTTTCCTTCTATTCTTTCCTTCTTCTTTTTGATCGGTGATTCCTTTTTTTCTTCCTTTCTCCTCTTTTCTTTTCTTCCTTTCTCCTCCAGCACTGCCACTCCTCTCTTCCTTCAATCTGCGCAGACCCTCTCCTCCTCCTCCTCCTCCTTTTTTTTTCTTCTTCTTCCCCTACCCTTTCTCCGATCCGCACAGTCCCCCATCGTCATCTTCTTCTTCTTCTTCTTCTCCTACTCTTTCTCTCTTCCCCTTCTTCTTCTTCTTCTTCTTTTCTCTTCTCCAACTTTTTCTCCGATTCGTACAGATCCTCTCCCTTCTTCTTCTTCTTCTTCTCCCTCTTTCTTCTAGATATAAATAAATCTGTGCCTTAATCATCATCCACCTCTTCTTCTTCTTCCCTTTCTCCGCTTTCTTATTCTTCCATGTCCGCAATGGTGGGGAATGGCAGTGACAGAGGGACTGGCGGTGACGGGGATGCCAGAAGAGAGGGTGGGGTTGGCGGTGGTGATGCGGCTGGTGGCTGTGGGGGGTAGGGTTGTAAATGAATCGAATATTTTTTGTTCGATTCGTGATTCGTATTCGAATAAAGTGATTTGTATTCGTTTTTTCCAAATCCGAATACGAATATGAATTTGAATAAATATTCGAACCCTTAACGAATACGAATTCGAATTTAAGTATATTCGATTCGTGAGTTTGACGAATATATTCGGTACATATATATACATAGAAAAAAATAAAGCCCAAGAAGTCCATAGTCCAAGTTGACCAGCCCAAATTGAAATCAAGTAATATTTCTCTCCCTTAGACCTAAGTCACCTAACCGCCGCCTCACTTGCTCACTTGTGTGCCGCTGAATCTTCAGATGATTTTCATCGTTTGAAACATCGATCTTCTCACTATCCATTTCCGTCTCCCTCTCAAAGTAGTCACCACTCACCACGCCTCTTGCACAATTTGCAAGTCGCAACTCTCCAGCCACTCACCAGTCACCACCCCGGCACTTCGACAATTTCAGCAATTACAAGCAACAAGGTAATTTTATTTTGCTTTTCTTGTGTTGGTGAAATTTCTCTCCTTGTTAGCTTTTCGGCAATTAATTGTTTGCTTTTCTTGTGTTTTTGTGTAAAATTACAGTGTGTTTGTGTAATTGCTTTTCGGCAATTTTTTTTTGTTTTTTTTGATTTTGAATGGTGAAATTTCTCTCCTTTTTTTGCTTTTCTTGTGTTTGTAGGATATGGAAGAAGGTGCACCATTCCTTGATTTCAGTTATGAAGAAGTTCACAATGACGATGAGGTAAAAATTTAAAAAAATCAAAGATTTCTTTACATTACTTTTACCTATTTCATTTTAATTATCAAATCTCACAAAGTTTACTATGTGTGGCGATTGAAAATTTTGTTCCAAATGGATAGTGAATTTTTTGTTGGCTAAGGCTTATACGGAATATTTATTTGTAAAATTTATGTTTCAAATTTAATTGGTGCAGGAAGTATGACATATTGACTTTATGTTGAAGAATTGAAGTTTGAAGTTGGATAGAATGTTGTTATTAAAATACATTGACTTTATGTTGGAGTCATGCTATTGAAATATTTAATATTTTGTTATTAAGACACAATGTATATTTCTTTTGGTATCTAAAATTATGCATTGTGCTTGATACTAGGCAGTTGACAAGTAAATTTGATGGTTGATATTTTTATCTTCAATAGATTAAATGTATCATCATAACTTTTTTCCTATTGGCTAATGCGTAATATTAATCATACAATGAGTTTGTGGGAAAAAATAGGTTAATATGAATATGATTTTTAATGAATAAATTAAATTTTTATAAAATATTTTAAAATTTAAAAAAAATTGTTGTTTTAAAACGAACCGAATTTATAACAAACCGAATTTCTTAAACGCATCGAATTTATAAACGAATCAAATACCTAATATTTGTTAAACGAATCGAGTACGAATCATTAAAAATATTCGAAGCGAATACGAATACAAATACGAATATCATCTTAAATTAGCGAAAACATATATTTTTTGTGGATATTCGATTCGATTCATTTACAACCCTAGTGGGGGTATGGCAGCAATGGGGTCTGGTGTGGTGCAGATTGAGATGGGGTAATTAGCAAGAGGAGTGAAGGGTATTTTAGACCATTACATCCATAGTCAACCACTCATAAAAATGGCCAAAAGTCAAAGTGTGAACATCATTCCCGGACGAAGAGAATAACTAATAAAATATTAAAATAACAATAATAATGCATCACAGAGTGTAACATAATAATGCATCATGGAGTGTAATAAGATTACAATTAAAGTGAGAAGAACCAATGTGCAAACATGAGAAGTTTTAGAATTTGTTAGGCTTATTTTAAATCACATTTTCCCTTATTTATTATTCAATTTTAACTTTATTGGTGTGAATTTGATTTGATTTAAGACCAATTGTGAACAATGGTCATTTTTTGATTAATTTAATATTTTTGATCAATTTTGGAGTTTTTAGTGTTAAAATTTGAGAATTGATCCGAGTCAATTAACATTCCCAAATATGTGGATCATCTTTTTCATAATACAGGGAGGGGGCATGGGATTAAAGCGAGCCCCATCATTCTCAACAAGAGAGTGGTTCTCACTAGAACAAAACACTATCAATCCAGTCATCTCAGGCGCATGAGAACTCCTTGTCCACCCTAGTCCGCTCACAATCCTCTGAACACATCCTCCAGTCACGGGCGTTCACCGATCATAAAATCACCACCACCAACAGGTTTAGTCCTAGTGCAATCCATCAAGGTGGACAATAAGACAATAAAACCCTTGGATTATTACCGTCAAGGTGAAGGTGAGGGCACTTGATGGGCTGAGCATACCCCTTGGTGCACCACTTCTAGCACTCTCACCACCTTCATCTCTTTAAGACAATTGAGCATCCATCCTCCATAACATTTTTCCCTCAAACTATTGGGCAACCCACCAAAATATTTTCTTTATTAGTCAAGTATTTCTTTCTATTGGTTCACAAGTTGCCCTTAATGCCCAAATTCTTCTCACTTTTATTGGGGTTTCCCCAATCACCATATTATTAAGATATCCACGCTCCTTGGTGGATATTGAGCCAAGATTTTCTACAAATGCTACCGCTTCATCATCCCCCAGGTCCAAATTTTGTTCAGACCCCATGAGCCAAGCTTAGACACCTTTCTCTGGTTCTACTAATCCATAAATATAATTGTGATTAGGGCAAAGGTTTTGTCAACTTCACAACCCAGACAGAAATGCTTTTCTATGAGATAAAATTGATAGGTAATTTTCCCACTTTTTTGTGGTGAAGGCTTCAGTAGATTTTCCCTTCCCCAATGTGGAGGAAGAAGGAAGACAAGTTCCCATCATATTATTTTCCTCATGCTCTGGTGCTCTTGAGGAGACCTTTGACTTCTTCTCAAGAAAGACCATTTAATTTCCCACAAGAGTGGCAGGACGTGGGAGGAAATAATACTGCAAGAACTTATTTTCCCTTCCACACGTTGGGAGAGAAGATCTCTGAAACTATCACCACAAAGACGCAACAAAACCACTCATCGGTTTAATCTAAAGGACTCTCACAAAACTTCTACCTGCATTGCAATCATATTTATGGAATCAGAAGAAATAATGGAAGGTGTCCAAACTTTGCTCAATACCTTTCTTGTAGCTAAGAAACAAAAAAATGGTCTCATTGGATTTAAACGAAATCCAAACTGAAGAGAAAACAAAGCAACTGCAAATATCCACCACCAGACAATGAATAAGAAAACCCCATCGGATCTTCTTTGTGTCAAAGAAATGTAACAGCAGGAGGGGTAGCAAAAAAAGAGCTTGTCGAATGCTGGAAGTGGTGAAAAGAACAGAGAGGGATAAAATGTATAGATGAAGAGAAGAAATGCAATGATCCAGATAATTATGGTGATGCCAAGAATTTTCCAACATAGAGAGATACATGTATAAAAGTCAATAATCTAATTTTTTAACTTCTAAAAAAAGTGAATTTAATGGGAACTTAACCCATCAAGACTTTATAAAAAATTGGACCCAAATATGTACAATGCCCAAGTTAAGGTCCATATCTTGAAAAAGATCCCGTCCAAGTATAATAAAGTAAATGCACTAGTAAGAGAGAAGAATAAACTTGTTGAACATGAAAAAAAGGAAAAGACAAAGCAGAGGGGCAGATCAGATTAGGAAAGGCAAGAGAATCTCTACCTATCCACACTTGCATCATCATCTTCGAACAGTTGAAGAAGATTTGGCATACGGAAATAGAGGAAGCTCTTTGACGATTAATTGCGTGACTCACAATTGAGCTGACCAAATTGTTTTATCTTCGTCCCCATCCTTCCAATAGCCCTTTTTCTTCCACAATAAATATTCTCATTCCATCTTTTAACCATCAAAATACCACAACTACTCTCACTTTATTTATTAAACCTCACCCACTTTATCTAATACAATCCACTCATTTTCATGTATTATGGTAAACTTTCAATTATTTTCAACTCTTCTTAAAAACCACATAAATTCAAAATGAGAAGATCTTAGAGGAATGGAAGGAATATAAACTCTCATCTAATCCTAAAAACTCTTCATATTTTGACTTTTAGTCAATTTGATCCCAAATTAGTCGTTACTCCGTATTTAATGATTAAATGATAAAAATTAATGAAACAAAACTAATCATTAAATAAATTTGATTAGATTAAGTTTATATTACTCCGTATAATTTAATATAATTTTTCTTGCAATTTTTGTCAAAGATTGTTTGTGTTTGACAAAAAAATTAAAACCGGAAGAGTTTTGGACTTATGAACCATACGTCACACACCTCGGCCTATATGGCTAAGAACTTAATTCTTAGTCTATTAATTTTCCTACGATGTTGTACTGGCTATCCATAACAATATTGTTCATTTAAATAATATCCTACTCTTAATACATGTCCACATTACCCTTTTGATGATCAATTTTAGAAAACTGTTTAAACAAATACTGCTTCTATTTCTAGTAAATTCTTGTCTATACAATGAATTCACATGCAGGTGCCTATCTTTAATATTGACAAATTCTTTAGACAGAACAAACATTAGTAAGTTTGGAGGTGTGCGTAACCCGAAAATATGAAGATGAACAAATTAGGGCTTTAAACACCACCTGGTCAATTTCAGGAGAGGCCAGCAAGGTGCAGTGTAGATTTGCAAATGCACATGTCCAAAAACACATGACCCAAACTCCTTTACATGTTTGAAATTACAAAGCACCAACAAAAAGAAATCAGAATATGAAATCAAGATGCAAACTTCGATCCAATGCAAAACAGAAAAGTGAAAAAAAATCAAATGAAAAAAATATATAATTTCAAATCAAAAGAGGAATTTGAATGTGATCCAGATGTGCTCATATTCTATGGGTGTAAATGAGTCTGTCATGCCGTGGCAACGGCTTTCAGAACGAGGAATTTTTTATAATCATCGCACCACGGAACACAGCCATTTCCAGAAAATACTCAATTCATAAACAACACTCAATCGAGAAAGAGGGGAATCACAAGGCAAGGGAAGGGGATGAGAGAAGAAAATTAGGAAAACGAGGGAAGTTAATGAGAAATCTGCAAGTTGGAATACCTGTATGCAATGATATGGTGAAGGTTATTCTGCTGCTACTTATAGAAAGGCGTTGCCGAGTGGGAGACGATGGGTGTTGAAATCTCGAAACCCTAATTCAGGGGTGGCTACTGGCTACGCAGAATAAACCCAGGCCCGGTAGCTCAGCCCGCAAAATATGAGGTTTTGGACTTCAAAGAAGACACAAAAATATTCACGGGACTATAAATTTCAAATACTCCGTATACGAGTAATCCTTCATAATAATGAAAAAAAATCATTAGTTGTGTACTTAATACAAAAAATGTATTTATATATGATTAGTATTGATGGTGTAAGTTACTTAATCGGGTAAACTATACTAGACCGGGTCTAGAATTATTTACTTGATTCGATAAAGTAAAAGGTAAAAACACGCAAAGTGACCGATAGGACTGTAGGTAGAAACACCTGTAACCCAATTAATATAATAACAGAAAATACACGAGAGCTTTTACAGGGGAGTATTGAGAGAATGCATTTGAATCCCTATTTTTGAGGATTACAACAGTATTTATACTAGATTAAGGGGGACAAAGTATCATGCAGCCACGTTCAGGCACGTTCTCGGATGGTGGGAAGTGATGGCCTTCGTCCTTTAGCTGCCTTGTCATCTTGCGAGGAAGATTATTCCCTTGTCTGGTAGTGTCTTGGATTGAATGTTCAAGCATTTTTAGCGATTCTTCGAGATCTTGGTTGCTACGGTCCAATCTCCTTAGGATTCTTCTCTGTCGACACTTTCCAACTCCAGAAATCATACCGGGTTGATTCCGATGGATGAGTTTACCGAAGTTAGGGAATGAAAGAGGCTTTAAAGTAGTTTGACCGGTATACCATCCGAAGTACACCAGTCAAAGTTTTGGTCAGCCTAGCGTCTTGTTAGTGACGATTGAGGTCTTTCATCCAACACATAATCAACTCGACCGGTCAAACATTTGGACATTTCCTTTGACTGGTTCTGGGTGGATTACACCCATCAAGTATAAAATAATAATACATATCTAAATTGATGATATATCAGCTCAAATGTGAATAATGATAAATTCTTTTTTTTCAAAATTAGAATTTTCTTTCATGTTTATTTAGTGATCATTTAATTAAGTAATTTTTTAATGCTTTAATTTTTTAAACATTTTTCAACTCCTTTCTATTTTTTTTCAACCCTTTCAAGTTTCTTTCAACATTCAATTCTAAAATTTTAACTTAAAATAACAGAGCATTAGTGGGCCGATATATAATCTTTTTTTCAAAGAGTGTAATTCATCATTGTTTTTAGTCGATAAATGAAATGAGCATAGACCTTAGTACCACAAAAGAATTTATTATTTTTCATATAACTTTTCCATCTGAAAATAAATTATTCAGACATTATTTATATAATTAAACTTCATCCACTTTATTTAATTCTTTTTACTATTGATTTCGAAATGAAAATTAGTCATGTTGCCTTTTGTTTTAAAAAAAAATTAATACTCTTTTTGTCCAACAATAAACTTCTGAGTTACTGTTGTGAGCTCTCGATGACTTATACGGAGTATTTGTTTACATAATTTTATTAATCATTTGATAAGATAGAATATTTTTTTCACAACATGTTTTGTAGAACCTTTGATGTAGTTTTAAAAAATACAATTTATACTTTTTTATGATATGTCAATTCATAAATAAAGTAATTTCAAAAAGATGGGAGATAGCATGTTGTTCAAAACAGAAAGTTTATTATTGCACGAACGAAGTATATAATTTTTATTTTTATTTTTTTCACAAAATAAAAATATTGAACCAAAAATACAACAACAACCTAATAGGATCCCACAAAAATATGAACTAAGCGAGTGCGTGTTTGCAGACCTTACCCCTACTAAAAGTAAAAGGGATGTTTCCAACGGACACCCCACTTAAGGGACACAAAAATCAAGTGAACTGAAAATAAAGATAGTCAAAGTTTGTGAACTAAATGATAAATTGAGTTCTGGTCGAAAGGAGTAATCCCTAATTTAAAGATATCATATTTGTAATTCTTATAAATAATCTTAAAAGAGAAAATTTTACATGTTCATAATAGTGATACGATAACTTTAGAACGAGTGAGCGTTTCATAATTAGTCGTATTAGATTTCCATGAAAGGTGCGTATTCATTTTCAGATTTAAATTATTTGGTGATTCACCTAAATCTTTCTGACGAGTATCATAGATTCATATGCACATGGTATATAGCACGAGGAAGAAAATCTCAAAGTTCAATGACGAGATCATGTCAATAAATGCGAATGATTCGCCAGACAAAGCTAAGATCGTCGAGAGTCATTATTTTATATAATTGTTATTGTTAGTGGTCAGCCTGTCCTGTCGGGCTGGCGAAAATGACACATAGATTCTTAAAGACAAATACGTAGCCACGTGGCATGTGCGCCAAAAATGCAAGACCCGAAGATGAACACTTCCCCAAGTGTATAAATATCATCTCTTCGGGATTGTAAAGGGGGGTCGAGGGATAAATCGATGAATCATTCAAGCTTTGTAACATAGTAATTCCATAATCTCATCTTTTACTATGAAGCATAATAATTCTAACTATACTAAAATTTGTGAGTTTTGGGCCGATATTAATTTGCTAACGGTGCATTAATGGGAATGACATGTTTTGTGCAACAAAACGAAAGTTGCAATTATTTTTGATGATTTTTTATTTTTAAAAGTTTTTTTTTGAAATGTTCATTTAATAAAAATAAACATTTTCGCGAGGAATAAAAACTTTTAAAAATACTAAGATCTTTTTTTAAAAATAAAAAAACGAGGTGCGGAAAGTTTTAAACATTAAGAACTTTTTTTTTGGTGTTCTGAAATTGCTTTTTGTATAAAACTCTTTTTTTCATATTTTAATTTTTTCATTTCATTTTTTCATATTATTTTATTTCAAGAATTTCTCTTTGAACTTTCCAAAAAATTATTCTAAAAAATAAAAAGTAAAAATGTTTAATTTGAGATAGATGCAGTGTGTGTTAATTTTTTTTAATTTTTATTTCAAACACAAAGAAATTTTTTTCACATTATAAAAAAATTTAAAAGAGATTTAAAAAATTAATAGAAAAGGAAACAAGGAGAAAAATAAATAAAAAAGGGAAAATCAAAATAATAAGCAAAAAATAAGAAATGAGCACGAGTAACCCATATGTTTAGAAATTAGGCGCCCATGCATACTCTTTACTGGAAAATGATTGGAAAATGATGAGAGTGAGTGTGTGTGCGACATTTTGCAACAACAGGGATTTTAGAATAAAATTTTGAAAATAGAGGGGACACTGTAACTATTTGGCCTTACCTTATTTATTTCATTACTTTTGCATGGTTTTAATTATTTTTTTTATTTTTGTTATTTTTTTATCTATTTTTTGTTTTTATTAAGGTAAGACTAATTTCTAAAAAAAGAAAAAGAAATAGATGTAAAAGTCATTTTAAAAATTTAAATGAAAATTTCCAAAAAATAAACAACCAGAATTTATTAAAAATAATATCAACTTTCATTTTGTTATGAAAAAGTGCAAAATATACCATTTTCATAATTCCATTGTTAGTCACTTAATGGTAAACTAAAACTTACAAATTTTAGTAAAGTTAAAAATTATTATGTACCACAATTAGTAAAAAGTTAGATCATTTTTGAAAGATTACGTAAAATTAGAATTTAGAATTATTGGGTACAATTTTTTCCCTTAAAAAACCGGTTCATCCGAGTCGTACGTGTCAGCCTTAAGTTGATCCAAACCGGGGCCTGGGTTCGAAAAGGCTCTAATAGGAAGGAACCCTAATGAAGTGATTCTGAACCGAACCCTCTCGCCATCTCCAACAAGCTCTCATCGTTGTCACCCTCCTTCCTGCAAGGAAAAGCCCCAAGCCAAGAGGCCTTCAACTCGATTCACATCCACACAGTTCTTCCAAATAACAATCCAAACGCTCTCACTCCGCCCGCCGGCTGTGTCGTTCTCTCCACTCAAAACTCCGCACCTCTCTCTTCTAAGACTACTGCTTATCCCCGCCCTATCCCCTCAGTGTCCAAGGTTTTGACATCGTGACCGGGTCCTACAAGTGTCCGAGTGCCCCTGTTTCCGCGACGCAAATTCTCAACAGGTTTCTTGTTTTCCGATGCGCTAGATGCTTAGAGAAACGTTGAATTCACGATTTCGAGGAACAGTTTTGAAGTTATATATTCATATTGCATTTTGTTAGGCAAAACAAATTTTCTTTATCTTTAGATAGTTTGGGGCTAGGTTTCATTTCTTACGAGAGACATTTGATTGCAATCATAGCATTTATTATCTCTTCCAATTGTGTTATGTAGTCATGTGTTCAGAGATCTCAAGTTTGTTCATTCTCTTTAGCAGCCTCTTTGACCACATCTAGGAGAATCCATGACACCCCATGGATATGGTTCCTTTCCTGCGCAAGTACGTTACCTGGCTTCTAGTTCTTAAATTTGGCTTGCTGTTTTTGCTTGTTTTTCTATAATATTAAATTGACTTCGAAATGAGCAAACTCTTTGTTTCAGTTTCAACCAGGAGCGCATGCACAACAAGGACAAACTTTTACTATCGGTCCTGGACAAAGCCAAGCAATGCAATTTTCTCAACCAATGCAGCAATTTCCCCCACGACCCGGTCAGAATAGTCACATGTTTACATCACAACCAATTCAAATGCCAAGTATGCAACCGAGCGGGCATATTCCACCTGCCTCTTTGCAGCCTCAACAAATGATTCTTTCTGCTAATAATCACATGCCTGGTGTGAGTGTCACTTGAGTTCCATTCTTTTTGGAAAAGACCAGATTCATTGTTGCTGTGTTATGATATATTGATATGCCCTCTGTGGATCCCTCTAACTAGATTTTTGACATTTCATATTTCTGCAATTGCAGTTTGCACCATCTCCTTTTGGCCAGGCATCCCAAATGAACACACCTCTTTTCGCAGCCGGAGGACAGCAGTCACAACACTGGCTTCCACCAGGGAATCACAGTGCACCTAATCAGCATACCCTTCAGCCACCCCCAGCTCTTACTCCTGCAGTTGCAGTATGACACTTTGATTCCCTTACTATCTTTTTCATAATTATTTGTGCATTTGAGCATTAGACCCTGAATGAATTTTTCATTGGTAATGATTTTAATGCGTTTTCCTAATACCAATCACTCTTGGATTCAAATAGGGTGCAAGTACTCACAGTAGTATCGAGCAGTCAACATCTGATTGGCAAGAGTACGAAGTCTCAGGAAGAAGGTTAGTTATTTGTTATGGTGAAGTATATAAGTCTTAAATATCTATCAACCCTCTTCACTTCATAGAAAATAATCATTCACTTCCCCTTTCCCACAATGACTTTCCCACTTTGACTTCACGGGAATTAATATTATTGTTAAAAAGTAAAAAATGTGTGGTTAGAATTTGTTTATAAGAGAGATATATTGCGAGCCACATTCTTTCCTAAAAAGGAAATGGAAAAAGTGAGAAGATTATTTTAGGTCAAACAAAAAAGGTAAGCGGGAAAATCTTTGTGGGACGAAGTTAGTATTTATAAAGCCTATCAAAGTTAGGGTCCTAGGGAAATATGGATCTAACTTTTTCATTTGATTTCTTTAATTGTGAATGAAATTATTTTAGCCAACATTATCTCTTTTTTGTCCCCCACCCACCCCCATATTAGATACTACTACAACAAGATTACAAAACAGTCTAGCTGGGAGAAGCCCTTGGAATTAATGACGCCCTTAGAGGTGAGCCAATACCTATCCTGTTACTCTGAAACTTAAATATAAGTTATTGTTTTAGATTGCTTCTGGTTGCCTCATGGCTTTGGAGGCATTGTTATCTATGGAAGGTGACCATTAAGTAAAAAAAATCGAATTGTGCATAGCGGTTTTATATGTGTTCTCCCTTTGTTTGCATGTTCTACTGGTTTGTAGCTGTCTTGGCAATTGACAAGAATATATCAACTGCTCACAATACTCACTGTGAAGGAAGTTTCTTCGCAAGGCAGGCAATGATTTGCTTCATTCTTTGCCATATATAAAAGAGGGATTAGATAATAGATGTGTGTTTTGTTATTGCATGCTAAGTTCAGTTGCTTTTAGGGGGTCAGGATTTTGACCCTGTAGTCAAGGGTTTGTGTGAGTGATATCTAGTACTTTGCTTACCGATTTTTTAGTGTAATGTCCTTTTGATGATGTTTTATGTTCTTTTAGTTTCTTCCTGTATTGCCCCAACAGTTTACAACAACATTAACCCAACTGCTCAAAGGCTCCCCACCATTGCAGGGTATGGGGGGTCGAATGTACGCAGCCTGTTTAAAACACAGAGCGGCTGTTTTCAAGTGACCCTTGATGAGCGGCGAAAGTTTCATTGACTAATTGCTACTTCACTATTGAGAGAAGCGCAAATAGTTTAAAGAGTCATTATGTTTTATCCCATCATACCCCAACACAAAAAACAATGCATCTTTGGTTACATCGGAGATGATGTAAAAATATTGCCCCTATAGTTTATTACCCAACAATTCATGCTATCTTTCACCCACATATTCCTTTTTATTAACTGCTAAGACATTAAAAATGTTTTACAAATATCTTTAATATTTTAAAAATATTTAATAATTTAAATAATTTTAATGTTTTTCTGAGTTTCTCTATTTTTCCTTTAGACGTGGTCAACACGGAAACAAACCCTTCATTCTTAAAGGTAGAGATAAAGCATGTTTACATTCCACCCTCCCCTGAACCTAATGGCTATGTTGGATTTGTCTAGTTTTCCATATCAAGGCTGGTTGGAGATTATATGCATAAATGAGCAGTATTGTTTGCTTTCCCACTTACACTCTGCACTTTCCCTTTCAGAGAGAAGAGGCATTAACTGGTTGGAAAGAGTTTACAACCGAGAATGGAAGAAAGTAAGTTAATACAGTAGATAGACTTCTTTTAAACTGATCCTTCATTTGTTGGTTTCGAGACATGGATATTTATTTTGGCCCCTCTGTTGTTGACTTGTTGCTCAACTTATTCAGGTATTACTATCACAAAGAAAAGAAGGAGTCTAAGTGGGAAATACCCGAGGAGTTAAAGGTACTTGCAATTTGTAACTTTCGTTGCATGTGCGTTATTGTTTTCTTCAAATTACTGAACTTGCAGTGATTGCATCAGTTGGCTCGTGAACAATCTGAAAAAGCTGCTGCTCAAGAACAAATATCAGATGCAGGCTTGACACCCAAGGCTGCAATCGGTGCAACTGGAACCTCAAGTGAAAATCAGTTCACTGCTGTAACCCCGGTTAGCTCTAGCCCTTCAACTTTTTCTGGAGTAGCTTCAAGCCCGGCACCAGTTACACTGGTTGCCACTGTTGTTAATGCTTCGTCTGCGGGGGTTTCTGGATCACCAGCTACTCCTGCTTTGAACCTTGCTACAACAAGCTCAGCCAATGTATCTTCGCCTGCTGCAGCACCAGGAAGTAACACAGATCCCGCAAATTTGGCTAGCTCCAACCAGGCACCTCTGTATGGACATTTGTGTTTCTTAGCTTCTCCTGATGTGCTTAATGTTTATCTCTGTCAATTATTTTAATGTGCGTGTGCATACAGGAATGTCGCTGAGAATTTATCTCCTCAAGTTGTTGCTTCCTCAGGTGTATCTTCTGTACAGGACAACGGGGTATGTATTTTTCTGAATCATTATCAATATGCCATTAGTCTGGCTCTCTATGGTCAAAACTGCCAAAATGATTTCAAGACTAGTGTGTTTTGTATGACCTAATTGTTGCTTCAAGCATTTTACTATTAGATTTACCCTTTGCTATTCATAGTTGGGTGATTTGATATTGTAGACATGTCTACTTGAACGCTACTCTCCCACACAAAACACCAGCTTTTTAGCCCACATTACATTTTAAAAATCTTTCTGACTCTCAAATTGTATCTCACAGCATATGAATAAGAGTAATGCTGCTACAAATCTTTTTGCTACACATTCGGAGGGTAAAGCATCTGAAGAAGAACCTTTGGTGTATGCCACCAAGCAGGTATTTATTTAGAATATTCTGCATATTATTGTGCTGTGTTGTTGATAAGCTGATTGCTTTCTTTGACTTTAGGAGGCCAAAAATGCTTTTAAAGCTCTATTAGAATCTGCTAACGTGGGATCTGACTGGACCTGGGATCAGGTTATTATATAATTATGTGATGTATTTCTTTAGTCCATTCTTAACATATCTAAACACCGACATACTAATCTGAATGCACTTGATCTCTTTTTTCTACCATTCTAGACAGTGCGAGCAATAGCCAATGATAAGCGGTACGGAGCACTGAAAACTCATGGTGAGAGAAAGCAGGCATTCAATGAGGTATTTGGCATTCTCTTAAAGTTACTCTCAATATGGTTTGACTAGGGTTTTTTATTTACTGAGTTTCCCTAGTCACATAATTTCTTGGGCATGTTTTATAGTCACTAGTACATTAATATTTCATCTTTGATCTGTTTGTTCACTTATTTTGGGTTTTGCATAAAGTACCTGATGCAACGGAAGAAGCTTGAAGCTGAAGAGAAGCGCCTGAGACAGAGGAAAGCGAAGGAGGAATTCACGAAGATGTTGGAAGTAAGTTTTGTGTTCATGAATTTTACTCATTATTTTGTTCTGACAATTCATTTCCTGTTTTCAGTAAGGTATTTTGCATATTTTGATTTTTTCAAAGTTTCAAACTGTAGTCATTTGTAGTTTTTTGAACCCATCTTCTGTTCAGTCAAGTACATTTGCGTATGTTATTTTATGTAATTGAATTTTTATTTAATGAAACAGTAACTACATTACAAATTTACTATAAACTCAAATGAATTGGAATGCACGCACTTCTTGCCCCAAGCAGCACATATTACAGATAGTGCTCTTGCTATACATGTCATACTTAACTTTGCTGGTTTTAGTTCAAAAAACAAGCATCTTTTTGAGTTATCAAAATTATCCTGAAATTATGATTTTTGTTCTAAATGCATTCAATCTTCTGCTGATTCTCATTTCCACTAGATTGTGTGTTACATATTTCTTTCTCACAGGCAAGCTTTCTTTCATCCCGCAAATTTGCTAGGATTAGCAAAATAATAGCTTCTAATCTCTAATACCTTAAGCTTTCCCTTCATTCCTGAAATTTGCGAGGATTAATAAATAATAGCTAACAAACATACTAGCTACAATCTACAATATATGTTAATAATGAAACCAACATCATATTCACAATTTTGATAACATGAAATTTTAATTATTGATCATAGTCATTAGCCACTCACCCGGGTCCTGGGTTTTTGTTATCATAAATTGAAGATGTACTGATAACAAACCAGTTTCTCACTTTCAATTTCTAATTTATCATTTATTCTTCAGGAGTCCAAGGAACTCACATCATCAACAAGATGGAGGTAGTAACTTTCTTATTAAACCCGCACACTTCAGATACAATGCAGATTAGTAGTAATAGAAGTCTTTGGTTTTTTTTGATACCCAGCAAAGCAGTCACAATGTTTGAGGATGATGAGCGGTTCAAGGCTGTTGAAAGAGAGGCTGACCGTGAAGAACTCTTCAAAATGTATTTGGTGGATCTTTTGAAAAAGGTAAGAAGAAGATGCTCTTTAGTTTGATATGAATTTTGCATAATCTACATAATCATCCTTTTAGTTTCCTTACTCAATGATGAAGGTCCAGATGTTCAAATGTTACTTAGTCTTCATCATTCTTGTATGTCCAGGAAAAGGCAAAAGCTCAAGAGGATTACCGAAAAAACAGATTGGAGTATAGACAATTCCTTGAAACATGTGGGTTTATCAAGGTATCTCTCTCTTCTTTTGGGGGGTGGGGGGTAGGAGTGGGCAGGGATGGGAAAGTTCTATTTTTGGGATTTCATTCCCTATGACATGATGATCATAATGGGTGACATTTCAAAAGCTATTATCTTTGCCTTAATATGTTTTTTTCTGTCCTATTTGTTCAAATTCTTTGTTTTTGGGCTCCAGGTTGATACACAGTGGCGGAAAGTTCAGGATCTCTTGGAAGATGATGAACGATGCTCACGCCTTGAAAAATATGACCGCTTGGAGGGTTTCCAGGTATTGTATTCGTGATTTCATATTCCACAATGCGTTTAGAACTACGATGCTTACACATGTCGGTATGACAGGATTATATTCGTGACTTGGAGCGTGAGGAAGAAGAGCAGCGTAAAACACAAAAGGTGGCTCCAGTTTAACTTCAATGTTCTGTATCACTATTTGATTTATTGTTGAAGAATTTGATTGCATACAAATTAACATTAGGAACACTTGAGGCGTGCTGAGCGCAAGAACCGCGATGCTTTCCGTAATATGATGGAAGACCATATTGCTGCTGGGACACTCACTGCTAAAACACAATGGCGTGATTACTGTCAGACGGTATGTCACAATGTCACATTTGCCATCTTTTCCCCGTATGTTATGTAAATGATACAATATTTACTGAACTTAGACTCTCTTCTTCTTCCTGCTGTTGCTGGCAATCATAGGTGAAGGAGTCTGTGCCTTATCAGGCTGTTGCATCAAACACTTCAGGGTCTACACCAAGGGATTTGTTTGAAGATGCTGTTGAAGAGTTGGAAAATCAGGTAGCAATCAGTTACAAATCTGTCATCTTTGAAAAATGGGTTCTGTGGTTATTCCTGATACCCTCCTTAAAATGCTTTATAATTCCTGTGAGTGGAAGCTGCTCTTATTTTTCTTTTTCCAGGAGCTTAGAAAGTGTTTGGTTGACTGATGAATATTGTGTTTATGTGTTTGTTTGATTGGTTATTTTCATGAAATTTTGTGCTCCATAGAAAATGTGTATCTCGACTCTTAAACATTGCCTTATAGTCAGTTGTAATGAGCTAGTGCGTTTTAGGTACTGCATATGGCAGTAATGCACTAATGCTCCCACCACCCATGAGTTCCAGGGTCTATAATTCTATGCTAACTCATTTTCCTTTGAATTCGTACTTCTAATAGTATTATGAAGACAGAACACGTGTTAAAAATGTCTTGAAGTCTGAAAAGGTATGATTATCGGTATCTTTGCCTTGTTATTCCATTACTCTGGTCATATTATTTGAATAATCCTTGTTGTCCATGCTTACTTGTTCAGATAAACTTCTCATCAACATGGTCATTTGAGCACTTTAAAGATTCTATATCGGAAAGCGTTGGCACTCCACACATTTCTGAAGTTAATTTGCAGGTTCAAACTTCAATTAGTTTGATTTAATATAATTTGTTATTTACTTGTTTTTTCTTTTGTTGTAGTCACTATTGGCCTTGCGTCTTATATCTAGTTATCATTCACATTATGATTTTGTAGTGCATATGATTGGTTAAAAGGTTATTCATTGTGAAGCTTAATAGACTCAACTAGAATAACCACTGACATTGGTTTAGCCATGATGTTACACCTAAGATTTGTTCAAGTCGTCTAACATGGATATGAGCAACTAGAAGGGTTTGTTAATGATGTGACATTTAAGATTAATGCAAGTTGGCTGACATGGAAAGGAGCAACAAAACTATTTTGTGATAATAATGTACCCCTAAGACAAGTACAAATGTGTAACTAATACAAGACCTTTTTTTATACAGATCAAAATGGTGGACAATAATGAAAAAATTTACAGGGAAAATGATAGGAACCCAAAACATGTGCGAGAAATGTGTATGTTAAGATGGTCACATGTCACTAACACTTCTAGAAAAGGTGCTTGGTATAGCGCCTACTTAGTGTAAATATTAACTTGTTTGGAGAGTGAAGTGTTGGAATCTGGGATTTCTGATGTTTCTAATGATTTCCCTATTACTGAACTAATGCCAGAAGAATTGATTTCCTTATTAGCTGTAATTATTTGTAAAGTTAGTTTTGTAAGAGACTTGAATCACTTGATATCAACGATGAAGTCATTGGAAATTTGGAACTTCGAAGACTTGGGAAATTCCTTTTTATACTATAAGTACCTGTTTCATCCTTCATTTCAGATATACAAGATATACAAATTACTCAAAATATAAAAGCTCTGATTGTTTCTTCACACTCCATATCACCATATGTTGTTCTTGTTGTTGTTGTTGATTATTATTGTTATTATTATTATTATTATTATTATTGTCATTATCATTATTACTATTACTATTATTATTATTATTATTATTATTATTATTATTATTATTATTATGATTCCTATTATTATGATGATTTTTATTACTACTATTACTTACTCCCTCCATGCCATAAAACTTTTCCACTTTGGGAAAAAGTGGGATTTTAGGAATGTGTAATTTTGGCGTTACTTTCCAATTTTGTCCTTTATCATAGGATAGGATAAGATGTGATGGGTAGATTAATGGTGAATAGATATCGTGTGATAGGTAGGTTAATGATTAGTAGGGGTAAAAGTACTAAAAGCGATATTTTAATTGAAAGTGAAAGTGTTTTTTGGGACATATAAAAAGTGAAAGTGGAAAGTTTTTTTTGGGATGGAGGGAGTATATTTTTTTTGAATTATACATTTGAAACCATTTACATCATAGACATCATTAATCATTAACTTAGGTTTTGCCTACCTACTTCTCAAGTATAGATTCCTTTAACTGTTGCTTTTTCAAAATATTATTCAAGCCATTCCTTTGGTTGAGTGCTTCTTTGGTGCACCTTGGGTGCATATCAATGTTATAGACCTTCTCACATAAAAAAATATTTTTTTATTTTTTATTTATGTTTAAAAAGCAAATGCTTATTTAAGTATTAAAGAAATGCTTATTTTGCTCATATGTAGGTCCATGGTGGAGCTTAGGTCCACCATTGAATTTGCCCCTTTGGTTTGATAGACTCGTTGCTGGTATAATAAATTATCTAGATATGATTTAGTTTAAGATAACCTATTATTTCTTCTCGAATAATTGGAATAAAAACTCTTAACATATATGGAGTACTATCTTCATGAGAATCATTTCTGAGAGATTGAGGGTGTGAGATAATTGCTGGGCTTGTACTTTAGTGATCAGTGTTGCTTTGTATTTCAAGCTTGCTAATAGATATTGTGATTTACTTGGGTGCCTTCTGATCGCAGCTCATATTTGAGGACCTCATGGATAGAGCGAAAGAAAAAGAAGAGAAAGAAGCTAAAAAGCGTCAACGCCTTGCAAGCGATTTTATGGAGATGCTGAGCTATATTGATGTGTGCAATATCCACTTTAAGTGATATCGTTTACATAGTATTTATCAAATTATGTATCTAGCATCTGAATATTTTTCTTATTCTGCTTAGGAAATAACTGTTTCTTCAAGTTGGGATGAGTGCAAAGAGCTTTTCGATGATAGCTCAGAATACAAGTATTTGACTATTTGTTCCTAATATTTGCATAAATGTTCTTCCTAACACTAATGCTTGTTTTAATATGCTCATTATTATTTGTGTTCTTTCCTCTATCTTGCATTTTAATTAGAGCTATTGGCGAAGAAACAACCTTAAGGGAACTCTTTGAGGAGCATGTTGCATGGTTGCAGGAGAAGGCCTTAGAAAAAGAACGTAGACGGGATGAGGAAAAGGTAATTGACATATTTCGAATACAATATCAGTACTCATTAGTCATTTGAATGTTTTCAAAAGCATACCATATGTTTACATTTACCAATTTGCTTCGTTGGTTTGTTGTGGTCTCATAAACAAATCAAAGTTACCCTGAACTTTGCAAGGATATGACAGGTTTGGCTATGACAAAATTTATTGACGTTTAAACACTTCTCATTCTTTATGCACATTTTCACATCAATATTGATGTCTTGGGATCCTGTCATAGTTGTGAAAAGCACGCCCAAGGGCCTGAGGCGCGATGCGCGCGTGGTGGATCTGCGCATCAGGCAGTGTGATGCAGGCAGGAGGCACGTGCATAACCGCACGTCATTGCATTTGTCGATGCGATGCGCTACAAGGCGCACATTGCGAACCCAATGTTTTTATTTTATTTTATCTTTTTACATTAAGACTAGGGTTGACTACTTAACTCACTTTTCACTGTTCAACTTTGCGTCTCTCTCCTTCCGCTTCTTGGACTTCGACGAATTGCGACTTGCAAGTCTTCCTCCCTTTGACGATTGTGTTTCTTCTCTTTCAGGTTAATCACTTGACTTGCTTCTCACTTTTCATATATTTTTTTTCATTTTTAAATCGACCTCAATTTTTTAAATTGCCGGGGATTCTCTTTTTCTTTTTTTTCTTTTTTCTTCTCCTGGTGCTATTGCACTAGTAGCTTCTCAGATTTTCTTTTTGTTTCTTTTGCCCGCTTCAGTGTTTTAAATCGCTAGATTTTCATGTTCTCTCACGCAGTTCTGTACTTTTGTTTCATCCATAAAGGAGGTATTTATTGTGGGAAAGAACATGTTTTTTGTTTTTGCAACTAGCTATTTTTGTTCCTGAACTTTTAGTATTTTTATTTGTCAATGGTACTATGTGTGACATTGATTCTTGGTTACTTTCTGAAATTTTATTATGTCTTTCAAAATTTTATAAGAAATGTTTCTAATTTAGAGATGTTATAAATTTTATAGGAACTGTTGGTAATTTAGAGGTTCTATGCTCCTTAAGTCCTTATTTCTCAATTTGCGCCTCATGTTCGTGATGTGCACGCATTATTTGCGCATCACACATCGAGGCGCTAGGAACTTTTTGTGCATCAGTGCGCATCACACCTTAAACAACTATGGATCACCTGTGCTGGAAATCTGAAACAACTTCCATAATCTTGCAAAGTTGGGATGCATTTTGCAATTTTTTATAATTAGGGCCAAATGACCAATGACACATGACTGGAGGACTTAAAATATGTTTTACTGTATTTTGAAATTAGAAGAATTAAATATAGGATACATTTTGAATCAACTGAAAAGAGTGCGAGAAAAATGTTTCCTTCTGAAAAACATGGGTTCTGGCCCAGATTGGCTTGGAATGAGCTAGAAAGGATATGGAAACTAGACATGGAGTGTTGGAAAAATGATTAAATGAAAGGAGGAAGGATCCTTCCACTATCACATGTTTTTTTCATGCCCATTTTTTAGTGTCCATATATGTAGTGTCTGATTTGCTGGGTTGTGGTTATAAACAGGAATCAACTTATCATCATTGTTAGCATCATATCTTAATCCCTACCATGATGTCGTTGGTGGGGTGAAATTTATTGTCTAAAATTAGTCAACAATACAAAAACATATCTGCACGGTTTTGTGCCGGATACCATTCCTATTGTAATATAATTACATACCAATATATGAAGTATTTACTTTTTCTCCTCTTGCATCTATGGCCGGATTGACGGCAACCTAAAAAATATATTCCTTCCGGCCATATCTATACGGAATCTTAGGATGGTCCTAAAAAGTCATTTCATATTACTAATGCATATCTTATTTATTTCTCAACTATTGGCCTTATGAAACGAAGGAGCATGATCTGTTAGTGTTTGTCACAAATCATGAAGTACTCCCTCCGTCCCCCTAAGATGTTCTCATTTTGACTTTTGGTGGTTTTTAAGGAGAGTTGAAAAAAGGTGAAAGTTTACCATAATACCCTTAATGAAAAATGGGTGGAGTGTATTAAATGAGGTGGGTGAGGTGTAATAAATAAAGTAAGTGGGGGTAGTTGTGGTATTTTAATTGTTAAAAAATGAAATGAGAAGATCTATTGTGGACAAAGAAAAAGGGCTATTGGGAAGATCTATGGGGGACAGAGGGAGTACTATTTAAGCCGTCAAAAAAAAATGAAGTACCATAACGGCATATAAAAAATAAAACTAGTTTTAATGATCTTAAATGATTTCATTGGTTTGTATGGAAGTCAAAACTGTGACTTATAAATACGACAAGAGAGATTACTTACTTTCGTCTGATATCTATATTTGCAGGCTAAAAAAGATAAAGAAAAGGATGAAAAAGAAAAGAGGAAAGAGGAGAGAAAAGAAAAGGACAAGGAAGAGCGTGAAAGAGAAAAGGAGAAGGGAAAAGAGCGACCGAGAAGGGATGACGAGAGTACTGATTTCATTGAGTATGATCACAAAGAAGATAAAAAGAGGGATAAGGGAAAAGAAAGAAAACACCGGAAAAGGCATCATAGCCCTACAGATGATGTGACTTCTGATAAGGATGAGAAAGAGGAAACTAAGAAGTCCCGTCGACATGGTGGTGACAGGAAAAAGTCAAGGAGGGTAAGTAATAAATTAACCCATGTCCTATACTGCTATACATGCAGCACAAGCAATTAGAAGATGGTTGGAAATTTGCTACTGAGGTCAAAATAGGCGACCATCCATTATTATTTTTAAGTCTCCTTTCGGCAACTCACAGCCTGTTGTGGTGGATAAGGGTTCTCTGACCACTACATGAGGCTAGTCTAGAGACTTGATAAACCACTTTGACATATAACATTATGTGGGAGAGTGATTTTTTTTTGGGGGGGGGGAGGGGAGGGTGGAGAGGAGGTATGCGTACAAAGACCGTACCCATACTCGAAAGTAGAGAGGCTATTTCCAAGAGACCCCTAGTTTATACTAAATTTTCATTTATAAATTAACTTTAGAAAATTATTAAGTTAAATATTTTTTTTAAAAGTATAACCCCCCCCTCACCCTCACCACACACGCAACATATTCTATGCTTGTGTTTTATTGGAGTACATTCGAGAGACTGAGGGAATGCAAGCAAAGAGGGAGGGAGGTGGAAAGTGGAGCCGTGGGTTTTTTTGGTTTTGTGTAATGCAGTCAGGAACTACACAAACTTGCCATTTGTGTATTTAAATTTTTACTTTTTAATTATTCAAAATATTTTATTCACTTTTTGAGGTGCACAAATGGCAAGTTTGTGTAGTTTGTGACAGAGATGTTAGTGATTTAGGCATTTCTCTTTACACTATGTTTGGTTTTAGGAATTTGGAAGGAAAAGAAAAGAATATGGTTTTCTCTCATTTTCCTCACTAAAATAGGAGGAATTCGGTTTCCCATTCTCGGTACATTTTGTCTTCTCAATTTCTTTTTCTTCTACTTTTCTTTTCTTTTCTTCTCTACCCAAACAAAGGAAAAAGGTTTTCCTCCTATTTTCTTTTCCCTTCCCTACCAAAATCCACGAACCAAACACTGTCTTAGGGTTATATTTTTCTTATTCTTCCTTTAAGGTTGTAAATCAAACTTTGCTTTGAACTATTATGGCATTACTATTTTTTAAAACAAAAATTAGATCTAACAAAATACTTGTATATTCTTCAAAGATTTAATGCTATGAGCTTAAGTATAATGGCTGCTAACACACTTGCACTAAGGACTGCACATTATAATCTTTCACAATTTACATTTTTTTGTTGACAGCATTCACCAGAGTCAGATAGTGAAAGTCGGCACAAGAGACACAGAAAAGAACGCGACTCCTCTCGACGTAACAGTGGTGGACATGAAGAGCTCGAAGATGGTGAACTTGGCGAGGATGGTGAAATCTACTGAGTGCGCCTTTCTACCTTTTTTTGTGCACTTATTCTGATCTCGTCATTACACACCCCCCCCCTCTTCATGCCCCTTTAGTAGACATGTTTGCAGTGTGCCCATCTTATTAGACAGGCCTCTTACTGATGCCCTACTTTTCTTTCACTGCATGATCCTCTGTTTTCCCAGGTCGTATCTAACAACCATACATCGGCATTTGTTAGACTCCTTAACTGTTTTGGTCTTATTAGGAATTGTCATTATCATCCGAATTATAGAAAAGCATGTATCGTGTCATTTTTCTTTCCAAATCATGTACGAGTAAGAGAAGACATAAAGCTGCTTTTGTGCTCTTTGCTTTTATAGAATTGCAATACTCAGTATTGTTGAGTTTTCAGTCACAATCTTGTTGCCCCATAATACTTGTGTTTATAATTGTAATAATCTTTTTTAAGGTTATGTACTCTTGCAGGCCCGGGCAATTCATTTATTATTTGCCCCTTATTTTTTAACATTCATCAACTACAACCCTTTATTTGTAATCCTCTACCACTCCAGGGATCGAGCAGAGGGGGTAGTTTGGGGACATTATATGTGTTCTTTGTTGCATTATTATTGCATTCTTGAACTATTCCCAAATTTTCCCTATATGTTCATTGTTCCTAAATTTTCAATCTTCCTTTAGAAGAGAATATATGTTAATATTACATTCCCTTCAAAATAAACCTCAAATTTGTATCAAAAAAATATTCCCAATCCCAACTTATCTTTTCTTAATAATCATGCAAAGGCATTACGGAGTACTTGAAGAAAAGTGTGGAACGGTAAGGGCTATTGATTTGCAAAAGTTTCTTAGGATTTGTTTCTTCAATTGGAAAGCCAACAAAGATTAGGGCCGTTTTGGTAGTGTTTTTTGTTTTTATCAAGATAGTTTATATGGCTTGTGCCGAAGTTTATATGGAGTATAAATGTTACCTTAAATTTTTATATCAAACTTTTTTACCCAATCGAAATATTGTAAGATTTCATTATGCCTCTAGAGCTGTTGTGAGAACCGAAATGTTTGATGTGGCGATGTGAATTGTGAACTATAGGATGATTTATTAAATGTCTAAAAAAGATACTCCATTCCCCTCAATTTATATGACTTGTTTTGGTTTGTAATGTTGGGAGTAAAACTATAGTTTATTTAATTTTCAAGACAATTAAGGCAGAATTTAAAAATAAATTTACATATTTAAAACTATCCGGAGTACATGAAAAACTTTACAAAATAAGTGATGACATGATTATATTATTTTACTCTCTCCGTCCTAAAACTATATTCCCACTTCTTCATTTGTAATGTCCTAAAACTATTTTCCCACATTCCAAAAAAAGGTGAAAAATGACTATCCTACCCTTACAGCATCTACTCGCCCACCTTCCCACTCTATCGACATTCTTTCATTTTCTCCAGAAGTCATATTTTTCAATTGTTTTTTAATCAGAATTTAACCCTTTGTCAATTGGTTATTCAATCCGTTACTCATCAATTGTTATCTTACTTGCTGTTTTGGTCTTTTGGGTGGGAGAATACTCTGAAAGCAGCAAAAATCTCAATAGACTAAACACAACAATATTACGTGGATCAACTCTTGGGTAGTTAGGATCTTGGGTAGTTAAGGGTAATTGAAGTTCACCCCGTGTCTAAACAAAAAAAAAACAATGAAATAGTGGATCAACTCTTAATCAATCACACTACAGATCAGGAAACCCCATCTAACATGGTCCAGCCTTTCAAATTACACCAGGTAATTAATTAACCAAAAATATTGGATTAGTTTTAGATGAACTTACAATGGTGGTATGAGATAAACAACACCAATGGTGGTTCTCCAAAATACATTTTCTTGCTGCAAGAGCTCAATGACAAAAGTTAGAAGAAGAGAAGATAAAAACCACATTTATAAACGAAGAAGATATACTCCTCCTTATGCCGAGGATCCTTGAACTGGATTCCGGACCTTAAAGTTATCAATTGAAGACCTGAAGTCACACTGGAGGGACAAAAGCGTCTTCTGTCTCCGCGCAAAAGCAAGGCTGAAGCCTCTTATGTCTTCCTCAAGTTCTTTCCTCCTATGCTCTTCCGCGCACAAGTTCTTCAAAACTGTGTCTCTTTGATCCGTAAGGTGAGCAACCTTTTGAGTTGAGTCCCTAACTCTTTGGACCAACATATCCCTCTCTTCTTTCAATGCACAAACCTGTTTGTCTAAGCTGTTATGTCTTTCACTGGAAGCCACAACAAGTTGATTACTGGCCTCCAACTCTTTCTCCAAGCTGCAGCATTTTGCCTTCATTTTTGCAACTTCATCCTCAAGTGCCCTCTTCCAACTATCAATATCTTGCTCTAGAGTAGATCCCTGGATTATAAAGTAACCAAACGGTGTTCAAAATAAACTTGTTTGATTACTCCAGTAGAGTAACATTAACATCATGTTTGGAATTTTAAGTAATCTTGCATTTCCAGAACCGGAACAGCTAATGTCATCTCACATTCCATGGATCAAATGTCCCACGATGAAAAAGGCTAGGGAATAGGGATAAGTTATTTTTATTATGCAAAGCAATACGAAATAAGATTATTTTTTGTATTAAAAGATTACATATACTAAACGTTTTTTCATTACATAATAGACATAAAGAATATCCAAAATAAACCTAATGAGTTTTAGTCTATCTTTTATTCCCCCCCCATCCACCACACACACATACACACACACACATTTTCTTTCCTTCAAATTTCTTTTTATAATTTCCTTCCTATTTCCTTTCCCTATTTCAGGATTCCAAATGCCACTTTAAGAATCTTAGTTTCTAGGAGTTTATATAAAAAAAAACATTTAGTGGTTGGAACTTGGAAGTATCAAAAGGGATTGTGTGGACAACTAGTACCTTATAGTATCATGGGCTTCAAAGAAGATAGACAGTATAATCCCATGGTTGAAATGAAGAATAGAATAAAAAGGAAGGTGTGAGATCTGGGTATCTGTAGTGACCAAGCAGCTACCTTATGTTTGCTGCTGTTTGATACTTTCTCTGGATGTTGGCTTGTGATTGAAGATATTGTACTATTTGCCTTCTCACAAAGCTTCGTTCGCTGGTCTTCAAATGAAACATTTATTCTACTTGAGGATATATCTCCATCCATATCCATCTTGAAGTTTGATTCCAGAGTGGAAAAAAGGGAGATGCCAATCTCACTTGAGGCAGATAGTAACTTGGCAGTTGGCGACTTCTCATTAGCTACACAGTTCTGCACCATAAACCATCAGGATTTAAGATATTATTACCCCCATCCTCCGGGATCGCTGATATGGCAGCCAATAAATTACTGATAACTGAAAAATTGTATAACAATAATACTAAATTACTAATAACTGAAGAAGCAGACAAGAAAAAGCTAACTAACTTTCTATCATTCGTTCCATAATCTGTCCTCTAGCAAACAAAACAATTGACAGATGATTCCTCAAAAAAAGAAATTACTGATAAATGGGAGAAAACAGACAAAATGCTTCTTCAAGACAGAAAAAGAGCGCAAAGTAAATATTAAGACCATATTGAGGAGGCTAAGAACAGAATGGAGAAGGCAAAGATGAGACGATGGAGACCGCAAGAAGAAGCTGGGCAAAAGGGAGAAAAGGTAGATGAAACCCAAATCCACATAATAGCCCTTTACAAAGCACTCATTCTGTTGGTGTCATCTTCAACCAGTTCCAGGCGGGCTTTTAGGGCCGAATGACCCCTCCCCTCCTCTGCCCCGATCATCCGATCCTTGGACATCCCCTCAAGATGTTAAAAATCCTCTCGTAACTTTTGTTTTCATTCCAAAAGGTTGTTTCACACTCTGTGCACCTCCTTCAACCTTACAATGCACACATACAAGCTCTGCGAGTAAACAACCTTTTGGTAAGAAGGTGCACAGGGTGCTAAACAACCTTTTGGCAAGAAAACAGAAGTTATGAGGGTTTTTTTGACATTCCGGAGGACTATTCCAGGACAGGATGATCAGGGACAGAGGAAGGGAGGGGGCTTGCCTTATCTGGAGTAGCGCGTTGATGAGCATTTGACCCCAAAAACCCGCCCAGAACTGATTGAAGAGGACATCAACAATATGGGTGATTTTGAAAAGGGCTAGCATGTGGGTTTGGATTTCATCTGCCTTTTCTCCCTTTTGCAGAGCTTTTTGTTGCCGTCTGACCCTTGCCTTCTCAGTTATGGTCTTAGTATTTACTTTGCCCTCTTTGTTTTTATGGCGTCTCTTTTCTGTGTTATGGTTCTAGTATTTACTTTGTGCTTTTTTTTGTCTTGAAGAAGCATTTTGTCTGCTTTTTCCCAGTTATCAATTACCCGGAATATTTCTTTTTTCAAATAATTCTCTGTCAATCCTCTTATTAGTTGTTACGGGACCGATTATGGAATCAATGTTAGAACATTTGTTAGATTTTTCTTGTCTACTTGTTCAGTTATTAGTAATTTAAATTATGGAATGAGCCAAAAATGATTATATTAAGAAGTCATTACCTGTACTATTGACAAGACATCCTTGTAAATATCTTTGCAGACGACAATACATTCAAAGTGTCTTTCAGGGATTTCCTGAACAAGAGACGCCTCTTGCCGAAGTTGAGAAATCTCTTTCATTAAATCTTCGTTCAGTGATCTTTGTGTTAAATAATCTGCCTGTAAATTACATAACCAAAACATAAGCCACACATTATGGATAGATAACCTTGAAAACATAACTGATCAAAACAATGCACATTTTTTTTATCTACACCATAATTACAACCTTGAATTCATCTCTTTCCTTTAAAACTTGCTTCAGTTCTCTCCGAAGATTCTCCACTTCTTGATTGCAATCTGGTGTGGATCGATCCTGGGTGAAATGGTGGTTGAGAGAAATAACCAACATGAGTTTTAAAAAGTCATCCATCACATCTTAGTCATATGAAAGTGAGGCTCACATCAAGATCAGCTATGAAGCCTTTATTTATTTTTGCCCATGTATCTTCATCAGCAAAGTCACCAAACGCGTCAGGAAGAGGACTATACTCGCACCGTCTAGAATTGTTTGATCGTTTAGCAACAAAGGCACTGGGAGCTGCTTTATAACATGGTGTACTAAAGGCATCATCCTGACATGTGCCTTTCCTTTCCCCAAAGTTATGCAGAGAGGTATTCTGCACCGAGGAATGAATTTAACCTTTTGTTTACCATATAACAAGTCATGGTCATTTGTATATGAAGAACGATTAAGATTAGATATCCGAATTACTGGATTAGCGTACTCAACCTGAGCGGTATGGCCATTTGTATCTGATAAAGCTGATTGATTGCACAGCTCGTCGAGTTTCCTCTGTTGATCCATAATACGCTCCTTTTGCGTCCTTCTTTCCTCCTCCAGCGCCATAGCA